CCCCCAGTATATTACACTTTTCACACGCGCTCCTTCCACTCCACGCTATGGCAGTGTCAGTTACTGCTGCGGCGCGGGCGGCGGCGCCCCCTCGTGGCCACCGCCGCCGCCGCGCTTCGTCGGACGCGCCCCCTGCGAGGGACGCCGCGCTCCGACCGCCACCGGGTTCTAGGGAGGGCGCCACCGTCACAGCGGCGACGGCGGCGCCGTCGTCACCAGGTGGGAGGATGGAGAGACGTCTTCGTCATCGTCTCGCCGCGGCGTGGCGCCCTCTATATACGCGCAGAGGGGCCATCCTACGCCGCTCTCTCTATCTCACGCTCTCTCGCTCTCGTTTCGTCTTCTTCTTCTTCCACACGTGATCTCGCGACATCTCGTCGCGCGTTCGTGTGTTTATATATATCGCTGCCGTCTGTTTGTGCGATGACGCCATCATTGGAAAGTGAGGTTAAAGGCTTAAGTGTAGACGCGAGCGAACGCGCAGACTCGCGGGAGCCTCCAGCGAGTCACCACTGTAAAACAATATACACAAAACTTCTCCGTCTGCTGTCTGTACACGGTGTGGCCTCGTGGCCTGACCTTGACCTGACCTTGACCTGACCGGGGTGAAAGGTCACGAGCCAGCCCATTATGACACATGAAAAATACCTGAGTTGAACAACTTTTCAAACAATATAATATTAATGTACGGCAGGTCGATATTAATTAATTAATTAACGTCGGCAATGTCGTTAATCGCTGTAATTTTCTCGGGGGGAAAATTTTGCGAGAAACAGGACTGCAAAGACCGAGTAGGAAGCCGGATATTTACAGCGAATAGGGCGAGCGCGCGTGCGTGTCTGAAGCGTGTGCGGGGGGGGGACGAAGTCTCCCTCTCCGCGTCTCCTGATTCTCGCACGCCTCTCTCTCTCTCTGCACGCGCGCGCGCGTGCCGCGACCGGTGTTTGCATTCCTGTTTCCGTCGGATGTTTGATTTCGGTTCAGGCCACGCTCGCAGGCTGCTCCTCTCTGCTCTCTCTCGGCCGCCGTGGCGGGGGAGGGGCGGGGAGGCCCAGGGAGGGGGGGATGGAGGTCGACGACTCGCCCGGATATCGACGACACGACGTAGGTGGGTCGATGTCCGCTCCGCAGCCGCCCTGCGACACTCTCCCCTTGCCTCCCATCTCCACGCCCGCGCGGGAGGGGGGGGGCGGGGGCGGGGGGGGGGGGGGGGAGGGGGGGGGGGGGAGGGGGGGGGGGGGGGGGGGGGGGGGGGGGGGGGGGGAATGAGAGAGAGAGAAGAGAAGGCAGTGAGCGTGAACCACAGCGCGTGACGTGAGAGTGGCAGATAGTGGCGCCCCACGCATCGGTGCGCCGCAGGCGCCGGGGTGTTAACGTAACATAACACGTGAACGTATCCGGTAATGTGTTTGTGTTTGTGTTTGTTTGTGTTTGTGTGTGTGTGTGATGTTGTGTGTTGTGATTTGTGTTTAATGCTGTTGTGTGTGTGTGTTGTGTGTGTTTGTGTTTGGTGTGTTGTGTGTTTGTGTTAGGTGTGTGTGATGTGTGTGTGGGCCTTTTGTTTGTGTTTGTGTTTATGTGTTTGTGTTAGTGTGTTTGTGTGTGTTTGTGTTTGTGTTTGTGGTGTTTGTGTTTGTGTGTGTGTGTGTGTGTGTTTGTTTTGTGTGTGTGTGTGTTGCCGTGTGTGTGTTTGTGTTTGTGTTTATGTGTTATGTGTGTTGTTTGTGTGGTTTGTGTTTGTGTTTGTGTGTTTGTGTGTGTGTGTGTGTGTGTTTGTTTGTGTGTGTGTGTGTGCGTGTGTGTGCGTGTGTGTGTGTGTGTTTGTGTGTGTGTGTGTGTGTGTGTGTTTGTGTATACGGAGACCGCAGTGCGCACACACTGCGCGCCTGCGGGCGGGAGGAGTGGGGGTCCACAACCGGTTCGAAAAGGGGTGGGGAGAAGGGAGGTAGAGGGGAAGGAGTCTGTGCGCAGGGGGGCAAATAAATAGTTAATACGGGGGCTGCCCCCGTGTGAGGGGGAGTGACGACCCCCGCATACCCGCCTCCCCCGCCCGCCGCAGTGGCAACGGTCGATAAACATGAGGTAAGTACAGCGAGGGAGGCGCGCGGCGACCACCAGGGGTCGCCTCCTGCGGGTGCGGCCGGCATGTGGCGCCCCCCTGCCTCGCTGCGGTTGGGTGGTGGCGGTGGGCGGCCTGCGTGCCGCTACGTGGACATGGTCATAGGGGTGTGTGAGTTGGTGGTAGATGTACCGCTCTGGCTGGACGACGTGTCCGTTGTCCTCACTGTCTTTGTTTACGTCGTGCAGGGTCTGGAAAGCAAGAGAAAGAGGAGGGTTAGAGAACCGAGAGAGGGAGAGAGGGAGAGAGGGGGAGGGGGGAGAGGGGAGAGAGAGAGAGAGAGAGAGAGAGGCGAGCAGAGAGAGAGAGAGAGAGAGAGAGGGGGGGAGGGACGGAGAAAGAAGGTTAGAGAATGGGAGCGGTAGAGAGGGGGGAGAGGGGGAGGGAGGGAGAGAGGGAAAGCTAGAGAATGAGAAGAGGGAAGAGAGGAAAGTTAGAGAATGAGAGAGGGAGAGAGGGGAAGGAGAGAGAAGTTAGAGAATGAGAGAGAGAGAGAGAGAGAGAGAGAGAGAAGAGAGAGAGAGAGAGAGAGAGAAGAGAGAGATAGCGAGAGAGAGAAGAGAGAGAGAGAGAGAGCGAGAAGAGAGAGACAGAGGAGAAAGACAGAGAGCAACAGAGAGAGAGAGAGAAGAGAGAGAAGATGAGAGAGAGAGAGAAGAGAGAGAGAGAGACAGTCAGAGACAGAGACAGAGCAAAAGAGAGAGAGAGAGCAGAGAGAGTCAGAGACAGAGACAGAAAGAGAATAAGAGATAGAGAAGCGAAATGAGGAGAAATGCGCATCAGCACTCGCGACCGAATAACAATTACGCGAGCAAAGATTCGCGAGAGAAATCGTGGAAGAATCCCTTCCCTGCGTAGCCTTCCCTGAGATACCTCCCCCTCCCCTCCCCCCGCATGCGCATCCGACACCGTGTGATAGTGTATGAACCAGAGCAAGCGCGTCAGCAGGCACCCGATGAGGAACGACGCCATGTGCATGGCGACGACCGCTCCCGACTCAGCCCGATCACGCAGCTCTCAGCCACCGCGCACATCTCCCCGCACGGCGGCCGCTGGAACAACACGAAAGCGCGAAGCCATCACTACCCATGACGACCGTGACGTAGTCTCCTCGCCAGGGGCGCCTTGACGCGCCACCAGGGGGCGCTCCGCCAACGCCGCGTCCGCACGACGTGGGAGCCATCTCTACAGGCTTCTACGATGCAGCTCTCGCTACGTGTAACCACGGCAACCGACGTCCTGCGAACCCGATCCTAGATAACCCTCGCCTCCTACCCA